GGTCCATCTGACTAACAATCAAAGGATCACAATCAGATACATCAACGAAGATCCACAACCCATCCATCCATCTAATCTTTACAGATGGATCAAAACAAGTGGATAAAGTGGGTGCGTCTTTCGTACATCAAATAAGAGGCAAGGAGACCTTTCATTATCATACTGGTTTTAAATTGGCTAGTTACTGCACAGTTCCAGAGGCAGAACTTTTTGCCATTCTCCGAGCAATCACATATATCCAAGAGTCAAAAACAATCATACAAAATATTCGAATTTGCACGAACAGTCAAACGGCTGTTAAAAGGATTAATTCCCATCACATTAAATGCCACAATACTAGGACTATTCACGAAAAGATAAGAAGTTTAAAAGGGATCAACCTATCATTAGCCTGGGTCCGGGGACACAGCAGCACCCAGGGCAATGAGGAGGCTGATAGGATAGCCAAACTTTACGCAACATCCTCTGAAAATCAACACTATACGAACTTGACCAAAACAAACATCAATCAATTGGTAGAATATACAGCCATTCAACTTTGGAAAAGAGACTGGGAGATAGGTGATACTGGAAGAGTGACTTTCAACTTTCTACCAGACATTAGGGAACGACTTAATATGAAACACTTCAATACCAACTTCTTTCTGTCACAAGTTTTAACTGGTCATGGCAACTTTTACCAATACCTACATAGGTTCAGCCGGAGTGACAGGAATTCATGTGAGTGCGACAATATGTCAATCCAGGACATGAAACACTTTATCTTCAACTGTAAGAAATTTGATCATCAAAGGGACAGGCTTCTACAAAATGTTCTACACCACACGCCCCCAACCTTTTTATCACCACGGACCGGTCAACATTTGATATTTTACCGCAGCCCACTGAGGGGGGACGTTGATTATTTGTATTTTAGATTGATTTAATTTAATTGTATTGTATTTAAACATGCCTTCAAAATAAAATACAGTTACACCAAAAAATGAATATAATGTGATTTAACATTTTAACTCACTAGAATGTTAAATCGATGAGAACCCTGAGCTTGTTTCTTTGCAACAAGATGTTCCATCTGGGAGTAATAGGAGACAATGACACCCGAAGTGTGTTTCTTATGTCTAGTTTATTCCATTGTCCATTAAAAGTTGCACAAACCCGAGAGAAATACACCGTAAATAAAATGGAAATACCAGTAATTTAAATTAATGTTCCTTGAGCGGCCCGGTACCATTTGATCCACGGTCCGCAGCCTGGGGGTTGGGAACCACTGTTCTATACCAAGGTTTCAATTGGCCCTGCCCACTAAATAAACTGATTAATAACCACAAACTTTTTGAGGATTTAACAAATTATGTCACCAAGACAAGAGCACTCGAGGTGGATTTTCACAAAAGCATTAACATGTAATCTGTTGATGTTGTTTCTAAGCTATATGACAACTGAGACCTATGTCATCTGAAGAAACTGCTTCGACTTTTTTTTTTCTCTGTATTGTTGGTTCATGTGAAATTTGTTTAATCCGGTTATGGTGTTGCACTCAAAAGGTACATTCTGGAGCTAATGGTCCCATTCATCATTGTCAGCTTTGTCCTTTACCCTAAGGATGGATTATGTGTATTATTTATGTTCTTCTATGTAATATTCACCAGACTGACTTACTTTAATTGTCAGGTCTTACACTTATGTTGGAAACTCTTTAATTATGTAATTCAATTGTTTGGCATTTGTTTCTGCAATGTAACATCAGTGTACCTATACATTAACTCTAGTGCCCAAAGTCTGGGTAATATTTCATATTTATTACTGTTCTTCTATTTAATGTTAACTGATTTTATATTGTCCGGCTTTACACTTTTGTTAAAATCTTATCAAGTGTGTAACAGCAAGTAATAGTCAGCATTTGTATCTGCAATGTAACATCATTGTTATCTTTCTGTAACCCTTTATTACTCCTTAAGCTAAGGAGTAAATTTGTACATCTATACTAATATTATAAAGAGGTAATGTTTGTATGTATGTTAGTTTGTATGCAGCAGGTAATCTCCGTAACTACTCATCCGATTTCAAAAATTCTTTCACCAATATTTAGAATGGAACTTCAGGGTGGACATAGGCTGTATATTATTCCATTAAACATGGGAGATGGACAGTTCTTTACGGTAAGCCTTCCCCGTAAGGCTTACCATACTCTGCTTCTATTTATACTATTTTAGATGCGGTTTTTTGCATTTTTGATTGCGTTTTAATAGAGTACGTCAACAGAATGTACACTAAGAAGGGATTTTTCGATATTCCCCCGTGGGGGAGAGAGACAGGATTAAGGCTTACTGTAAAAAACTTGGCTTCTATTATACTATTTTAGATGCAAGTTTTTGCGTTTTTGATTGCGTCTTAATAGGGTACGTCAAGAGAATGTACACTAAGAAAAATCTTTTCGAAAAATTTTCTCCCATGGGGGAAGTGTTATACATTTATAATAGATACATTTTGAGCCACAACAAGGCATGGCAGGGTCTGCTAGTATTGTAATATTTTGTAAAAACTGCACTTTTTATTTTGAAAATAAAAGCTGACGTGGACGCCATGAGTCTCCCCTTTCACCATCTTTCCTATCTCACTTTTATTTCACCTTCATCTCTATTCTACTACTACTTTTCTTTAATTTTCACCCTCGGGCAATACCCATGGGTAGTCCCGAGTCTTCATCCCCTTTCTGCTAANCAGCTAGACATTTTTTATTTTATTTTTTTAATGAAATTTATTATTATAAAAGTATTTACCAGCAGATGATGATGATATATTTAGGTAGTACATATATGGTATATTTTTAGTATACCATTATAACAAACTGCATACAGTATATAAACAACTCAATAAACCTCATTTTTGATTAAAGCTTGCTCTTTATATATATACATTGCTATTTGAAATGCAATTAGTTAATGTCAGAAAGTATCTGAACTGTGTGTTCAATATTTTAAAAACAAAATCTAGAATTTCATAATTATAACTATGAAAAAGTTTTGTACCATATATAATCATTTATCAATTATTTAAATATGACTTAAATGACCTATAAATGATTATTGGAGATTACATAATATATCCAATATAATTTCAAAGTATAAATTTAGCTTATGTCCAAAAAAGCTACTTTCAAAAACTGGATTTTCTGGACACAGAAAACATAATTTCAAAAGAAAAATTTTATTAATTAGCATAAAATTTTTAAATATATCACAATTAGTTCTACCCCCAAAAAAATAATGACTTCTGTTGACCATTTATATTAAAAATAGTGACAAATAAATAATTTATAAGTGATTGTGATCAAATTTTATGAATCTAATTTGCTAAAAAAGTAAAACTTGGATTTTTTCATTAAGCAAGTTGATATTCATATCAATTATTCGTAATGTCTAATTATTTAATACAAAAGATTTAAAAAGTACAAGGAGAAATCTGCCCATATCCAACACTTATCCTTTCCTTTTACACATAACATTCTTTACACATACCTAAACATATATATTTTTTAACTTTCTCTAACAAATTAACATTTACAATAATTAAATACTAGATAGTAGATGATATTAAATTGACCACTGTAATTTTATTGTTAAGAAAAAATTTTACATTAAAAAAAAAACAGAACTATAACAAAATATTAACATTACAGTGGTTGAATGAAAAACAATTTCATATTTAAACAAATACTAAAATGTTGTGCAATGTAAATATAATGGTAAATCTAATAGTAGTGAAGTATTTTTATTCTTAAAAATTGGTCATATTGTAACACAGTATTAATATTAAATAATGTTAAATAAACCAAATGATTTACATTTTAAAAAAATCATATTATATTATTGATTGATCAGTTCTCACTAACCAGAAAACTATTTCAATTAGCCTACAACATATTTACATCTTTTTTTTTTTTTTTTTTTTTTTTTTTTTTTTTTTTTTTTTTTTTTTTTTTTTTTTTTTTTTTTTTTTTTTTTTTTTTTTTTTTTTTTTTTTTTTTTTTTTTTTTTTTTTTTTTTTTTTTTTTTTTTTTTTTTTTTTTTTTTTTTTTTTTTTTTTTTTTTTTTTTTTTTTTTTTTTTTTTTTTTTTTTTTTTTTTTTTTTTTTTTTTTTTTTTTTTTTTTTTTTTTTTTTCTGTCAATGATGATTTCATATTCTGTCCACTATTTTTTTTACCTTTATATAATCCTTTGTTTCCTGCTCAGCTTTATTTCTGGATAGTGCATGTCCCTTCAAACATTATATTTGCAGCAAAATTTCTCTCTCTTCTGCAAAATTTTTTTCTCTACACCTGTTTTCAATCTGTTCTGGGTTTCAAGAAAATTAGAACATTACTACTAAACTGATAAACGTTCACTTTATTCCAATTTCAGACATGATATCATGACACTGCTGCTTCCAGAACTGTTCTTCTTATGTCAAGTCAAGCTTGTTTACGTGATAATCTAGCAAACAAAACTGATTTACACTTTTGTATGACCAACAGAGTTAAATAATTAGATGGAGAAAGCAATATACTTTAGTAAATATTAAAGCTTAATATAACAAAGCAAATATCATCACATTAAAGGCTAATTACCAACTTTGTTAACTATGTAATGCTTACGTATGGTCTCTTTCTCCCCAATAACAACTCAGAACATGTCCAATGTAACAATAAAGAACTGAATTATTAAACTCATAAGATAGATTTTGAAACTATTACATGCTGTTATAAAAAATATTATAAATTGCTGAAAAATATATAATAAAACAGTTACTGTTACAAAATTTAAAAAAAGTGGTTTTTAGTGACTAATTACCACACCTGCAATTATCAAATAGAAATTTTTAACAAATTTAAAATCCATTATCAAATCACGAAACAAATTTGATTGACTATTTAATTACATATAGATGAATTAAAAATAAGTAAACACATATGCACATAAAAGAATATAATATTACTTAAAGAAAATTAAACAGCAACATACCGGGTTCTATTGCGGCTGTTATTAACGACTGTGCTTCTCTGACTCTCTTCATTGCTTCTTCAATTTCTCTTTGCGCTGCTTCAGAACTTTTAGCTTGAGGTTTAACAATAGCATTATTTGAATGATTAATTCTGAAAATATTCTATAATTAATAAATATTGATATAAGATTTAACATCACCAAACATCAATGATGAAAAGTAGCAACTAATTAATGATAAATATCAACAAGAGATTTGTGAGAAATGAATCCAAAACTTTCTCAGCTAAAAAAAAATTCAACTTTGTAATTACAGCAATTTTAGTAATTTTTGTAATAGTAACATTAAAATTACATGTACTGTAGCTCCTACCATCATCTCTAATACCTGATTTTACAATTTAGGAGCAAATTAATAAACCATCCAGCAGCTGCTATTTTTCCATCTTTGAAATTCAGTAATGCAAGATATATCTGGTTTAATGACTTTTCCTGTATTTTGAGTATTTCTGAGAATTTACAACCTACCATTAAAAATTAATTTATCTGACTGACATGTGGATATATTTGCACAAACTAAAAATAATGACACAAACTAAATATTATATTTCAGTTCAATTTATTTTTCAAAATGCTCTAAGTAATATTTATTCTAGCTACAGATGAATTCTTTAATTCTTTGAAAATAACAATTACTCAAATATTTGAATGAAATTATATGGACATAATATAATAATAAGTAAGAATTAGAGTGTAATCAGTAAAATTAAGTTGTAACTAATTAATGAAATTAATAATGATGAAAATTCTAATTGTTTAATTTTGTACTTGATTTTTAAAAACTTCATGTATTTTATAAATGATATAAATTTTAAATAAATATTTTATATTTTTTTATCAGCATCTTTAAACTTTTCTATTTTTACTAAATAATTTCTTCATGTCACTTCCTAAAAATTTTGATCTGAAAATACTTTTATAGGATTTTTGACATAATCAAAATTTTCACTTACTTCATTTAAATAAGTTTGAACAAACAAATGATAATTAGATGTGCAATATCTGGCTAAACTCTGATCAAAACTATGAGTAAAAATTTAACTATTAAACTTCTTTTGTCAATTTGATGACAAGATAAACTTCCATTCTGATGAAAAAAGTTGCTGTTTTATTAACGAAAATTAGTTATTTTGATTCAGTTGTCTACTTTACATTACTCAGTTGAANAAGGAAAAACACTTAAGGTAGAGACAGAATCACCAAATGTCTCAATTGGGTCACCAAATGTTGAAAGTTTTAGTAGAAATAATAATAATAATTTTAACAGATAATGTTTTTAACTATTATAATTACAGGAAAATCTTACAAGATTCTATTGTATTCAAATTTTATGAATAATTTGATGAATAATTCTTAAAATAATAGTTTTGTACAAAACTTGTTATTTTTAGAATTATTCAAGTTGCATTTTCCAAAATAAAAAAAAAAATTGTTAATACTAAAATTTAAATACTTACAACTTGATTCATTAACTGACTCTGACCAGAATTAACCATTCCAGAAACATTAGGAGAAGGTGAAGCTATGGCCATTGCTTTTGTTTCATCTGGTATAATTCCTATAAAAACAGTCTTACTAAATTAAAATAATTTTTTTTGAATTTTAATAAAAAAAAAATAATAATTTAGAATAGGACAAACTAATAATTAGCAAATATCTTTATCCATAAAATATTTTGTAATACAAATTACTATTACAAATTAGGGATGTCTCAATAATAGTTTTAAAGACAGATCAACAAACTGATAATCAGATCTAATAATTAATAGATAACTACTATTTTTTTTAATGACGTGACAGGTATTTTTGTTTACACTTGTTATTAATGTATATAATTAGTACAGTGGTTGATCATTTAATGAACATTTCAGACTGTGAACAAATTGGACAACAAACACTTTTGTGAAAGATTTTTATGTTCAGATAACAAACACCTGACAGAACAAACACAAGAAGCCACACTGTGTTTAAGATTTGTAAAACTATATTTTAATGGCATCTATACCTGGTTTATGGAATGAGACTTTTACAGTTGTGTACATAACCTGTTTTGCACTAGTTAATTTCTGTTCTCTGAATTTTTATAAGTTCTTTTCTGAACTTTTTATTTTAAAAATTGATAATATTACGGAGCCTAAAAAGAGTGGAATGTCAAGAACTATGTTCACTATAGAAACTAAGCAAGATAGCCAAGGTAGAGAGTGGGCAGATGATGTCTGATATTGTAGGCAGATGACTTCATCAGGGCTACAGTAGATACAATCTTAGCTAAGAAAGACATAATCAAAAAGACTCAAGCAGATAAAGGAATNGAAAAAGTTTTGTACCATATATAATCATTTATCAATTATTTAAATATGACTTAAATGACCTATAAATGATTATTGGAGATTACATAATATATCCAATCAAAAACTTTTTTCACTGAAATCTTGTTTGTTTTTGTAATTAATTTTCAGTCTTATAAAGCTCTAACTCTATTTGTAATAATTGTATTATATACATATTTTTTTATGGTTAAACATTGATACGAACATGGATGCATGGTACAAATAACAAAAGAAAAAGATGTAATGTGTTATTTAAATATAATTTGTTTTTAATTTGCAATTTAAATATTTATCATTCTATTCATATGCAATTTTAGAATTATTCTTTTTATTACAAATTGAATAAATTGTTGTTAAAAAACAAAAGTTTTTGCATGTAAACTGTAAAAGTTTTTGCATGCAATTTTGTACTTTCAATATATTTCAATAATATATTTTATTTGATACTTTTATTTTATTTGAAAATTTAAAAAATTTTATTGTTAATTATATTATTAACTTATTTCATTATTATAATAAAAACAAAAATGAAATGCATTAAGTAAATAATTACTTTAATGGACGTCCACCAAATATCACCCCATTATATTGAAGTGCATTTGCAACAGATGTTTGCTCTGTAAATTCAACAAATGCAAATCTTGTTGGTTGTGTTTCATCTCCTGCCATTCTAACATATTTCACTTCTCCAATTTGATTAAAAAACTTCAAAAGACCTTCAGCAGTTACCTAAAAATTAAAAATTTTCTTATGATAAAGAATCTTCAAATACCGGATTAAAATACAAAAATAATCCCTCATCAAACCTTTTAACCGGTATTAAATAAGAGTAAAATTACATGCAAATGTTTTCGGATCCCTCCCTGGGTCCTTTCTCAAGCAACCATTCTTCTTTAAAATTCGTTAGAACAAAGACCAGTAGAACGATTTTCTTCAAAACTGCGATGTTCGAAAAAACTACTTCTTCCGAACCATCTTGTCACCTCCCAACGTATATCCCAGCAAACTCCCGTGATCCGTTCAGATATAAAATGGCAGCGTTTAGAGCACTGGTTAAGAGGGCCTACACCCATTGCTCAACACAGGATGCTTTAGTTCAAGAATTGAACTATTTGCATATCATCACTAGACAACATGGATTTAACACCATGGTCCATAAATTAGCACAACAATTCACCAATGGCCTCCCACCTAATCCTCTACAGGACAAGACCACCGCCTCATTCCGATCACATACAACCCGTTCCTAACATCCCTGTATCAAAAAATAGCTAAAATACAAGGAGTACGCTTATCATACAGAAGATGCCCGTCTATGTTTAAGCTTCTACGCAATGAAAAAGATAAACCTAACAAGTAAAAGCTACCAGGGGTATACGCTGTCCCCCTCATGGACCATAGATTTGAGAGGGAACTGGTCTACATTGGCGCTACTAAACGTGCTATAGGTGTCAGATGGACTGAACACCAACGGGACATCCTCCACAAAAGGGGTTCTATGTCGTTATCCATGTATGCGTCAAACCCGGAGATTTCAGCAAACTTTGACAACGCCGAACTCCTCATTACTACACTGTTTACAGACCACCTCAAGTGGTTGGAACAAATGGAAATTTGCAAAGCATACAACACTTCTGCGCCTATTAACACAAGGGATGAGATTACCCTGTCCCTAGCATGGCAGGCCCTACTCCAGAAAGAGGATTCACATTAATCAAATCACATCGGCGTTCTATTTTTAGATTCGTTTTTTATTTAAATATCTACGTTCCATTTTTCGAAGTGTTCCGTCAGAATTTTTTCTATACCTGAAGAAGAGCTATCTGGGCAGCTCGAAAACGTTTGTGAAAGGAAAATTTTTTCACGCAAAATTACACCGGTAACAGGTTCCGTATTTAGTATTAATCAATTCGTATAATAAATAGGATATTAAAACATCATACCCGCTGATATGCTATTTTATTTTTTACTATTATTTATTTTTTTGTTAACGTAAAAATCCATAAAAACCTTTTAAGAAAAACAAGCATTACATTACGGAATACTGGAATGCATGTGATTCAAATTGATTTTTGAATTTCGACTTTTGAAATGTGGTTCGGAAGAAGTAGTTTTTCGAATATCGCAGTTTTGAAGAAGTTCATTCTACTGGTCTTCGTTCTAACGGATTTTAAAGAAGAAAAGTTGCTTGAGAAAGGACCCAGGGAGGGATCCGAAAACGTTTGCATGTAATTTTACTCTTGTTTAATACCGGTTCACGGTTTGATGAGGGATTATTTTTGCATGAATAATTCTTTATTAATTCCATTTTAAAAGTTTTTATACTGAGATAAAAATTTACCTAGATGCATAGGGTAGGTGCATGTCAGATAATTGCTATGATTCATTATAAGTGGGTGGGATGTTTATAAAAGTAGTTGTGTCATAGTATCTTTTACTGTGTATTATTCCTTAGTACAATTAAGGAGTTGATTGAGGTTACACATTGCACAGTTTTGGGAGTGGATATATGCAACAGCATTATGAGCATGACAGGGATGGGATGATAGTTCAAAAATATAAAATTAACATTATGTAATTTATGGATAATCCCTATGTCAATGAATATAAATATAATCCAAGTCAAATTATATTCAACATGAATTTTATGGAATTAAGAGTCTAAACATTAGCATGTATTTAAAGAAGCTAAACTTGGATTATTGGATTAAACACTTTTTGAAGCTGTTCTCTCCATCTCTATAAAGATTTTTGAAGCTGTTCTCTCCATCTCTATAAAGATGGAGTAGATTTCTATAAATACAAATGAATATCTTGATTTTTATTTGAACTTATAGAAGAATATTAGATATATATTTGTATAATAATAAATTCATTGATAGTTGGCTAGATAAATATGGTTTTGGTTTGTTATACTATAGGCCTAAATGCATAGTATTAAAAAGTATCTTTTAATAATTCAAATAAAGTTAAAACTTAAATTTATCATTTAGGAAACATAGAATTGCCATTACTTAATTATTTTGATTAAGATTTAATAAGCTATTTTTATCTTCTTATTATCATATAAAATATATCAAGTTCGTAAACTATTTCATTAATAGTTTGGTATAAATAGTTGGTTATAAAAATGGTCGTCAAAGCTGTAAACAACATTGTGGAGTTGTATATGAAAATAATTTCAAGCAGTAAGTAAAGGATGTCATTTGAATATCTGCTAACTGATGATCCAACCGACCTTATTGTACCTGGAGAAGGCCATTCAAAACGGTCGAAAACATTTGTATTTAGTGATTAAACTGCTAGAAACAAAGTGGGAAAGTTTTGAATTTTCCGATGGTTTAGCTGTTTTATATGTTGATTTAGTAAACGTCTCTTCAATCTGGAAAAAAACTTTCCAGTAGACTATCTCACAGCCAATTCAGGTTTTAAACTCCTTAAAGAGTCCTTAAAGGTTATAAACTCTATAAAGAGTCCTAAAAGGAGTTTATAACCTGAATTGGCTGTGAGATAGTCTACCGGAAAGTTTTTTTTCGGATTGAAGAGATATTTACTAAATCAAAGTGTGAAAGGTTTTGTCTTACTTATTTTTAGTAGTTCTAGCTTTGAATGCATAGAAATTTCAAGCAGAGTTGGAATTAATAAAAATATACCATATAGCAGGGGTGGCCAAGCTCCTTGATAGTCCGAGCCATTTTTCAAAATTGAAATTTTTCGCGAGCCGCAATTAAAGGTATGCAAAAAATTCCAATTACAAAATATATCTGTAGCAAGAGTGATACATAAATAAACATCTCTAAACCCGATATCCAATATAATAAGACACCAACCGAATGCCGTAAATTAATCGGGCTATTTTAATGCTAAATTCTAAATAAATTACGTAATTAATTTATTTAGAATTTAGAGTGATACAACTTGTTTCCTCCAGAGCACAATGTCAACTGTTCATTGCAATGACAGTTTACAAATTCAAAATCGGTCTGGAGTCGGTCGATAACGGACGATTACACCACTGTTTATGTTCGTTCGCGCAGTTTTTGATGAGTCATATCATTCTTAACTTGAATGGAAATGAAATTTGTTACAACGTTGCACTTAGTCTTTCATATTTGTTGTTAGTAATTTAAAAGACATTTGAAACACATACGGACGATAATAATTTTTTAAAATATAATAACACAAAAATGAAAAGGGAACTCGGGTACAGTACATTTATAGAGAGCCACAAATAATCCTTCGAAGAGCCGCATGTGGCTCGCGAGCCGCAGGTTGGCCACCCCTG